TCTTATATATTTGATGATGATTGTTTGAGCTTTTCGCATTTCATTTGTTTTTGTTTTGATGGTTTTGAAAGGTCGATGATTAGACGATTAACCTTATGGGTTCTTCGAATGGCCTGTTGGTCACTGTTGGTAGTGTCGAATGTGAAATCTTAATAAAGACAACTAAGTTCCTCTCTTCTTTTTCATTGCGATATGGTTTTTGAGGTTCTTCCGGAAGGTCTTTTTTAGTCATATGCATTTGTGACAGGCAACAAGCTTTGTATTAGGTGTGTTAAAGGAAACCAAGAACCCTTTTTTTTATAAGGTTTGATATCTTATTGTAGTGACAAATTCATAATGACAGGTTAGTTGGGTGGTATACGAAATTCTCTGAGACCTCTCGCCCGCACAATACTGAATTTGCTTACTTAGTTTATCAATTTCTACTTAATCATATTGTCATTTCCTTTTTATTTTCGTTCATAGTATTATTTCCGTTCATAGTATATTTGATATTGATTGTTTGGGTTTTTTACGTTATTTGTGGGTTCGTGGGTTTTTTTTCCATTTGCATTTCATTTGTTTTTCTTTTAGATAGTTTGAAAGATTCATGATGAAACGTTTGACTTTATGGATTCATTTGGATGTCCTGTTAGTCAATGTTGGTTGGTATCACATGTGAAATCCTAATGAAAACAACTAAGTTCCTATCTTATTTTCGACGATATAGTTTTTGAGGATCTTCTGGATAGATTTTTTTTTGGCGATATGCATATATGACATGCGAGCTTGGTTTTACGTGGGTTAAAGGCAACAAAAAACTCTTTTTTTACAATGTCTATTGTCTTCTTGTAGTGATAGATTCATTGGTTAGTATACTGAGTTCTCCAAGACCTCACGTTTGCATAAAACTGTAATTTATTATTTCTTTTTGCAATTTCAATTTATGTTATGACTAATGGATTGTCTTTTATAGCATTCAAGAAAAATGAGCTCTAGGATTTAAGGGACCTCCCGACGATTGCTCTGTCACTATGGACTTCAGACTTCCCTATTTACTTCAAGTCAGGCGCATAACTACGGAAGCATTTTTTATAGGTGTCTGCAGTGGGCAGACATTCCAGAGAAGTGTGAGTTCTTCCAATGGGCAGAAAGTCTAGTAGATTTCACTGCCAACAGTGATGGGGAATGGATAGCATCTCTAGAGAATGGTGTTGCTCGTGGCATGCGCTATTTGCATTATAAAATCAATATTTGTTATATTACAAATTGTAATTGTAATAGTTTTTTTTTCCTTATTTTTTAGCATACTAGATATTCATTATTACGTGAGGTGTTTATCTGAATTTTTGTATCATTCTGAAGTGAATTATTGCTTCTGGAGTACAAATGTATGGTTAGGACGATTCTGTTACAAACAGCATTACTAGACAATGGTCGAATGGTCGTTTGTCCAGAAACAGTTATTTTCAACCCGCAGAAAACAAACAGTCAGTCAGCTTATCCGCAGCAACTACCTAGGGCAGCTAAGCTGCAGCAGCTCATTGATAAGTTGCAGTTACCCCAAACAGACTCTCAATGCTACAGTGCTCCAACATGACACTATGGCGCCAAGCTATCAATTGGATGCCTTAAAATTGGAATTTTTTAGCGTCGCAGCCTTGCCTTTGTAGGCGCAACATGATATTTTCACTTTCCTCCAAATTTATTGTCCTATTAATTTTCTTCCACAATAGATAAAATAAATAAAAAACATAAAATGACATAAAGATATACATATTTTAATACAACTTAAATAGTTAAAAAAATTCCTCTAAATTTTATCTATTCCTTATCTTCAAGTAATCTTAGCTTTAGATTTCTTTTTCTATATCTTTTGATGGCAAAATTTATCTTAAAATTTAATTTCTTTGAAACATAATTTAAAATATTTTAAGTTTTCCATGATAATCATAAATAGTAAATACCAAAGAACCTAATTATTGCCTACACTTTTATTCTCCTTGATATTCCAATGAATCCTAATTGGTTTAATTAACTAAGAGTCGGGGTGATCGGACCACACAGATCCGCGTGCACAAGTTGTAGAGGGTGCTCGGCTCGGAAGTTGGCTTGGGCAGCAAACATCAGTCTTGTTTGCTTTGAAATCATGCAACTCTCACACACTTGGTTGGGGTGTGTGACCTTAGGCAGCACTATGGCCATCTTCTTCTCCCCCATCATTTTGAGCGCATAAAAGTTTACATGCCCAAGTCTTGCTTGCCATAACCAAACTAGATCTGCTAGTGATGCTAATAAAGAAGCGGGTTGGCTTGTCTCGAGAGAAATCTTGTACAACCGATTTGACGATTTTTCCACCTTCATCAACAGGGCGCCATTTCGGTCGAACATCTTCAAGTACGAGCCAACTAAGGTGATCGTGTTGCCTTCTTCTGTCATCTGACTGAGACTTATGATATTTCTTTTTAATTTCGGAATGTAATATACCTCAGTCATATAACGTTGATCGCCATTTTTGCATACAAACAGGATGGTTCCTCTACCCTTGATCTCGATGAGTGAGCCGTCTCTGAACTTCACATTTCTGGTGATTTTCTCGTTGAGTTGATTGAACTTCTCTCAATGGCTTGTCATGTGGTTGCTTGCTCCATTGTCAAGAAACCATACATCAGTGTGATTATACTCCTCGCCACTTGTGAGGAGGTTCGCCTTGACTTTTTCTTCATTGAGCAACACCCCCTCTGGTTCCTCCTTGGACGATTCTTGCGTGAACTCTTCGAGGTTTGTCTCATCATCTTTGAGCAAGGGATTCTCCACTCCCTCGGCAAACATCAACGCTGGCTTCTCGTCATGGATGCTAGTAAGGTTCGCTTCCTCTTCGGCCTTCTTGCTACGACATTCAGACGCATAGTGTCCGTACTTTTGAGAATTGTAAGACTTCATTGTGCTCTTGTCTTTATGGGGTTTGATGTCTTCTTATCGAGGTGAGCTTTCTCCGCCTCGACCTTGCCGTCGTCCCCGCTCTTTGCCATGGCCTCGACTATCTCCACCGTTGACGCTGCTACTCGAAGGTCCGGAAGAAAAATTGGCTTCTCTGTTTTTCTTCATTCACGACATCCATTCTGCATGCGTGAGCAAGAGGTGCTTCTCCTTCTCTTGGTCTTCGTAGCCGCAAATTCTCTCTTCGTGGACTTTGAGACGACCGACGACCTCCTCGACGGTCATATTTTTGAGGTCACTGAGTTGCTCGATTGCAGTGACGATCTGCATGTATTTTTGTGGTACGGCTCGAAGGAACTTCTTGACGACGGAGATCTCCTCCATCTTCTCTCCCAACGAGCGGATGCCCGTCACAATGGACGTCAATTTCATGGCGAAATCGTCCACCGTCTCTCCGTCCTTCATGCGGATTGCCTCGAAGTGAGTCCTCAAGGTCTGCACTTTCGCCTCCTTGACTCGCTCCACGCCGACGTGCATCGTCTTCAGTGTCTCCCATGCTAGCTTGGCGGAATCCTTCTCTGCCACCATGAGAAGAACGTCCTCCGGTAGCGCTTGATAGATGGCAGCGAGAGCCATTCTATCCTTACGCTCTTCGACCTCGTCTTGCTCCACGGCTTCCCACACTCCTTGAGCTTGTAGGTTCATACGCATCTTCAACGCCCACACCGAGTAGTTACTCTTTGTGAGTAACGGATAAGAAAGCGTTACGTTCCCTTCTCTTCCGATCTTCGTTGTTGTCATATCTCCTATGATAGTTTTGCTCGGTGACGACATGTCCTTAGGCTTAGGCTCAGATACCAAATGTTGGTTCCAATTTAATGGATCGCTAAAGGACAAATCGAAAAAATGAGATTGAACTTTTGGGAATTCTCTTTTTATTATTTTTGAAGGAGTGAAAAGATACAAGTCTGGAGTGTTTTTCACAATGCAACACAACACCCAATTTATACTAACTAATGCATACTGAAACAAAAAAGGAAACGTACACAATAAAGGCAAGAGAATTAAGTGTCATCAATACGCGTCTATTTGAATTGATTATACATATTTGAATTTTGAATTTGAATTTAAGATTCAAATTCAAAATTAATGATATTGTCATATCTCCTATATTTAATTCAAAATTAATGTTATTGTCATATCTTCTATAATTGTTCCACCAATCAACTCATGTCTATTATGAAGCCACTAATTGTGTAATCAATTCAAATTACCAATTCAAGATTAGTCTCACAGTATATATAAACCTACTTTGTCTTCTCAGAAGCAAAAAGTGAGATGCAACTGGTGGCTGCGAGGGGGGACTTGATGGCTTCTAGAGGAGAGGCATGATTCAAGTGATGCCCTGGTCTTTGACCCCCTCTTATAGATCAACGAGGCAATGTTGGAAGTCTTGATTGGGAAGGCGATGCAGAAAGCCTCGATTGGGAAGACGATGCAGAAAGCCTCGATCGAGAAGGCTATGCAGAAAAAAAAGGAAAGAATCGTGTAATAACTAATTAGTGCAATAAGGAGGAGCAATGCGGGAAGTTAGTTCAGGCGAAGTAGAAAGTTCTGATTCTTATGCATGCCCTTTATTTTTCAGCTCATGAATTCTAACTCCCTTCCTTTACTTTCTTCAATTCTTAATGTAATTGACTACTACTCCCTAACTGCTCTAATCTTGGAGAATAAAGAAAAAATAATTATTTTAAAATTATAAGTAACGAAAGCAGTAACTATGATTCCGCCATTCATGATGCACAGATAGCAATGGGCGTCACTGGATCAAATTATGTGAATCTAAACAATCGACTCAATCCAATAAAAATAATAATCGAAAGCATAAATTTCGCTTACCACATTGCAATAACTGTCGATATTTGAAACTCTGAAATCTAACCGTTCATCATCTTCCAAAACAAGAAAAGGTGCGTGAAATAAATAAAATAAATAAAGCAAAAGACAAACTGCTCATTCATGGTTTAATAAAGCAAAACGATGAAACGGCCAATGTTATGGAAAGGAAAGAGGAGTCTGACCAAAATATATAGCAGAGAAGAGAACAGAACTGTCCTGTAACGTCCAAGATACGAATCGGCGACGAACGCGCCTGCAAGCGGCAGCATCAACGCTACACCCGACCAAGTATTCACAAAGGTCGCTGCCGCCGCAGTCGACAACATGAGCGGCCCAGTGAGATAGGTAATAAGATTGGATGAAATCCCATAATACGCAAACCTCTCCGCAATCTGCGCCCCTGTTACGAGGTCACAAGAATAACAGATCAGAAACCGAATCAGCAACCGCAAAGAGGGCGGGAGAGGAAATCGGGGAAGTGGATTGAATATCACTTACCGATGATGAAAATGGCAGCTGACCATCTTCCGGAGGAGGATCGTGAGACGGGGCGGCTGCGGAAGTCGACGACGCCTGTGAAGGCCACGGCGGCGGAAGGGGATGGGGGAGAAGGGAACGAAAGAAGAGGGGATGAGTCCATCGCGAAGAAGAAGCCCTGTCAATGTAAAAATTATTATCAGGACTCCGGAAGCTCATGCAGAGCTGCTTGCGCGGAGTTGAATCGGGCTCACATGGAAGGGGCCTCCCTACATAAAAAATTTATGAAAAATAGAGCTGCTTGCGCGGAGTTGAATCGAGCTGACATGGAAGACGCCTCCTCGCATGGAAGACGCCTCCCTACATAAAAAATTTATGAAAAAATAATGAAAACTTGCGATTGGCACCAACCTATACTTATAAGAATATTAGAATATTTCATCTGCTGTATTATTCTGAATATTTTTTATATTATTGATCTGTTATTAATATATAATCAAAAATATAGAAATATTCTCCACTTAATAACATATAGTAACCCATAATAACACACTAATAAAATATAATGACACACATAGTAACAAAACTATACACTCACTAGCCTGCGGTATAACACGTCGGGAATATTTCATGTGAGTTATACAGCGGGCTAGGGGAGTGTTATAGGGCGGCTGTATAACACGTTGGGAGGTGTTATAACCCGCGGTATAACATGCAGCAAATATTCTCTCACGTGTTATAGTGCGGGCTAGAGAGTGTATAATTGTTATTATATGTATTATTATGTGTTATTAGTGTGTTATTATGTGTTATTAGTTTGTTATTAGTTTGTTATTAGTGTCTTATAGAACAAAAACAATTTATTTAGATGTCATAATTTATATTTATTAATAGCTTATAGTTATTTCATGTGTTATTGAGGGTTTAGGAATATTATGTGCTATAGGAATATTTCCTCACGTTATTCTGAATATTTTTTGTGTATTCATGTGTTATTTAATGTGTTATTCATGTGTTATTCAGAATAACACCAGAGAATATTTCTATGACACGGCGACAAGGATAAATAATGCAAAAAATATTTGCTTAGGCTCTGTAACGCATCAGTTGGGTTAGGTCGCGCGTTTTCATTTTTTATGTAGGTGGATCGGTCTTGTGCGTGTCAGCACAAGATTGGACTCCGCAATGTGGAGTCCTGATGTAATATTTTTCTCTATCAATGACCATAAGGACGCAAGCTTAGCAAGTTTACTACTTCTGGCGACAACAAAAACGTGTTTCATTTGGTCACAACTAAGGATACGGCTTTGGGATCGGTAGTCGGCTCGGCGCCTAAAATCCAACTAACACTTTGGAAATTACATACGTACCGCCCTAAACCTGCTATTTACAAATAAACCATCATATTTCTGCCATTTTCTAAATTCCAACTCAAATATCAAAATTTGTGGTAAAACCCTAACTCATATTTTTTTTATTTTTTACCAAATTCTCAATTATTTGATCGTGGCATATATAAATACATTAGCCCTTAGTTCAAAAAAAATTATACTGATAATTAATTTATAAATTTTAATGTTTTGGGTGCTCTATAAGTAATTATCCCTGATAAGTTTTTTAAGATCAAAATTATTTCTTACTAGGAAAGTGCTCAAAATAAAAAAATTTCTAGTCTTAATTAGCTATATTTTTTAAACACATTTATAGATACAAATGTAATAGATAATTAAATTTCTTATGCTGAAAATTCCTGGATTTTTCTCAATCAAAATAATTCATAAGAAAAAATGAACTAAAAAGGGATATTCCACTCTTAAATTATGAATGATAGGATTACAAAAAAGCAAATAATCATGACTAAATAATATTAGTTTGGCTACAACAATCATAGTTGATGACAACAACACTTGTAATTGGTTAGAAAAATGATAATTTATAGTTTTAATAATCATAGTTGGGCTGCAACAAGTGTAATTGGTGCATGCAACAATTATAGTTAATTGTAAAAGTCATAGTTGATGGCTACAACATTTGTAATTGATTAGGAAAATGATAATTTTCCTAATCAATCATAGTTGATGACAACAACACTTGTAATTGGTTAGGAAAATGATAATTTATAGTTACAATAATCGTAGTTGGGCTGCAACAGTTGTAATTGGTGCATGCAACAATTATAGTTAATTGTAAAAGTCATAGTTGATGGCTACAACATTCGTAATTGGCTATAAAATTTATATTTGGTGGCTACAATAATTAAAATTTAGCAAAAATAAATATAGATTGCGACTACAACAATTGTTTGTGACGATTGAAAACAACTAATGTGCCCCTGTTATGAGGTCATAAGATTAAGAGATCAGAAACCGAATCAGCAACCACAAAGAGGTGTGGGAAAGGAAGTCAGGGAAATGGATTGAATATCACTTATTGATGAAGAAAATGACAGCTCACCATCTTTCGGAGGAGGATTGTGAGACGAGGTTACTGTGGAAGTCAATGACACCTATCAAGGCCAGGGTGGCTGAAGGGGATAGGTGAGAAGGGAACGAAAGAAGAGGGAATGAGTCCATCACGAAGAATAATCCCTATAAATGACTACAACAATCATCGTTGAGCTACAACAACTATATTAGATGACAACAACACTTGTAATTGGCTAGGAAAGCGGTAATTTATAATTACAATAATCATAGTTGGGCTACAACAGTTGTAATTAGTGCCTACAACAATTATAGTTAATTGTAAAAGCCATAATTGATGGCTATGACAGCGACTTTATATATGCTTGAAAATATAAGTATTTAATATTGCTGCTAAAAGAATTAATTCCTCAGCAACTGCACCAAAAACTTAATAACAGTTATAGATTCGATAAAGATATATGTATAAAATATTCAATAATTGTAAAATCACACTTATCAACGCAAGTATATGTATCACTCAAGTACTATAGGGCTTTAATGGAGTCCTAGATATCGATCCCATAGGGAGTAATATTAGAACTACGAACTAAGACTTTAGAAAAATAATACTTTAATCATAACAATGAAGTTCAATTTGCTTATCTGTCACTAATAGATAATTGAAATAAATATGTAATTTTAATAACTATTAAATAACTAATTATACCAATGAAGGTTTTAATGTGATATTCATTATATAAGAAATCATCATTCTCCCTGTGAAAAAATTATAGTGAATGGATAAAGTGAATCAGTTATAGTTGTATTTTGTCAAATCGGAGCATATCTATTTGTTACCCTTTGGTCCAGACATAAAGAACATTGACTAATCCTACGCTTGTTTACCGAATCTACGGCTAGGCTGGGTGGATACCGGCTCTCACTTCGGAGCTCCCACGTTCCCCTCGCCTAAGGGCTAACATCTACACTTCAGTACCCAAACGATAGGACCGAATTGGGGATTTTAGTCTGTCACTCTAAAATCTCCAATTCTACGCCCGATAATTTTATTTCCCTATTTATTT